GTAGATAATGAAAAAGATGCTTTGGGATTGGCATTTAAAGACATTGTAAACTCAATTGGAGTTAGACAACACGTGTCAGGACCTACTCATTGTCGTAATCATACTCTAGATCTAATATTATCACATGGAATAGATGTTGATGCTGTTGAAATTCTGCAGCAGAGCGATGACATCTCAGATCATTATCTAGTCTCAAGTAAATTACATTTGGCCAAGGCTGCAAAGCCGACTCCGTGTTATAAATACGTTAGACCTATAACTTCTGCCACTAAAGATTGCTTTATCAATAATCTTCCTAATCAGTTTCATCATCTCAGCATCCCAGATAGCTTAGAAGAACTCCATATTGCAACAGAAACGTTTAACTCTCTCTTTTCCAGCACTTTAGACGCAGTTGCTCCGTTGCGCTTAAAGAAGATTAAAGAAAATAGTCCAACGCCGTGGTACAGCGAGCACACTCAGGCCCTTAAGAGAGCAGCCAAAAGAATGGAGCGCAACTGGAAGAAAACTAAACTAGAGGTATTTCGGATTTCGTGGAAAGAGAGCTCAATTGCTTACAGAGAGGCTTTAAAAGCTGCTAGATCTGCTTATTTTTTCAAACCTATTAGAAGAAAATAAACATAATCCTAGGTATTTATTTGAAACAGTGGCTAAACTAACGAAAAAGAAAGCTTCAAGCTCAGAAGTGTCAAAGCAACACGGCAGTGATGACTTTATGAACTTCTTCACTTATAAGATTGATAATATCAGGGACAAAATTATAACTATGCAACCGTCTACCACAGTATCGCATCAGGAAGTGCATTGTAGTCTCCCTGAGGAAAAATTTGATTTATTTGTTGCTATAGGAGAGGAAGAATTCTGCAAACTCGTTAATTCATCTAAATCGACAACTTGTATGTTAGATCCTATACCGACTAAGCTACTGAAAGAGATGTTTCCAGAGGTCATATATCCTCTTCTTAATATCATTAATTCATCTTTGTCTCTAGGATACGTACCAAAAACCTTTAAACTGGCTATGATAAAACCGCTTGTTAAAAAACCACAACTTGATCCTACAGAATTAGTCAATTACAGGCCGATCTCGAATCTGCCTTTTCTGTCAAAGATATTAGAAAAAGCAGTATCTTCACAACTATGTTCCTTTCTAGAAAGAAATGATATCTGCGAGGATTTTCAGTCCGGATTTAGACCGTACCATAGCACTGAGACCGCTCTCATTAGAGTCACAAATGATTTGCTCTTATCATCTGATCGTGGTTGTATCTCTCTATTAGTGTTACTCGATCTTAGTGCTGCATTTGACACCATTGACCACAATATTCTTTTAAATAGACTAGAAAACTATGTTGGCATTAGTGGAATTGCATTAGCATGGTTTAAATCATACTTAACTGACCGTTATCAGTTTGTAGCAGTAAATGAAGAGATGTCTTATCGATCACAAGTTCAGTATGGCGTACCACAAGGCTCAGTACTAGGACCGCTGCTGTTCACTCTGTACATGCTACCATTAGGAGATATCATTAGGAAACATGGAGTTAGCTTTCACTGTTATGCCGATGATACTCAGCTGTATATTTCTTCAAAACCCAACGAAACTTACCAATTCACAAAATTAACGGAATGCATAGCTGATATAAAAAATTGGATGACTAGTAATTTCCTACAACTAAATTCTGAAAAGACAGAGATTCTAATTATTGGACAAAAAACTTCCACACGTAATAACCCAGAATACTGTCTAACACTTAATGGCTGCTCTGTCAAGTCTTCGTCGTCGGTTAGGAACCTGGGTGTGCTATTTGATACCAACCTTTCTTTTGAAAGCCACGTGTCTAGTATCTGTAAAACTGCATTTTACCATCTTAAAAATATATCTAAATTACGCCATATGCTCTCATTGGGAAATGCGGAACAATTAGTCCATGCGTTCATGACCTCAAGGCTAGATTATTGTAATGCTCTACTGGGTGGTTGCCCTGCACGCTTAATAAACAAACTACAGCTAGTTCAAAACGCCGCAGCTCGAGTTCTTACCAGAACCAGGAAATATGACCATATTAGCCTGGTTCTGTCAACACTGCATTGGCTCCCTATTAAACATCGTATAAATTTTAAAATATTGTTGATTACCTACAAAGCACTAAATGGTTTAGCTCCGCAGTACTTGAGCGAGCTCTTAACGCATTATAGTCCTTCACGTCTATTGCGATCTCAAAACTCCGGCCAGTTGATAATACCTAGAATATCTAAATCGACTGCTGGCGGTAGATCCTTTTCCTATTTGGCACCAAAACTTTGGAACAGTCTTCCTACCATTGTCCGGGAAGCAGACACACTCTGTCAGTTCAAAGCTAGACTAAAAACACATCTCTTTGACCTAGCATACACATAATACATTATAGACTTCTATAAATTCAATGTTAGGCTGCATAGATTAGGTCAGCCGGAACTGGGAACACTTCCCTTAAATCTTGATGTACTCGCTACATCATAAGAAGAATGGCATCTACGCTAATATTAGTGTCTTTGTTTATCCCGAGGTTTTCCCGCAGCCTGCCGGATCCAGGCCGTGTCCAGATCTGACGAAGGAGATTCGCCTGGACCCGATGACAATGCAGTGCTGAAGTATCCACTATCCTCTCCCTATGGAGGATCCCTTTCCCACTCTACAGATAAAGCGCTGTGAATTCCGGCTCGCGTACCCCGAAGTGATAAAATAAAACAAAATTCTGTATCAAAGTTTATAGGCAAGAAAAGTAGTTTGTTTAGGCTGGGTTGTATGAATTACAAACCTGCGCACATATTTTAAAAAGCACATAACTATAGAATTCTGAATGAGCATGTGAACGCCGTCAGCGTTAATCACAGGTTCGCGTTTAAAGTCTGATCATTTTGACGGAGGTGAATCAATCAAAGTTAACTTTAGCTGGAAGTAACATTATTCAAGAACCGCTATAACGCCAAAACAATCTGTTACCTTAAATTATATGTTTATCTCTGTAAAGCTGCTTTGAAACAATTTATTGTTAAAAGCGCTATATAAATGAAGATGACCTGACTTGACTTGACTTGTGTTTATTGGGCACATCTTTGGCCAAATGAAATGCGACTGCATTTGTTATTTCACTGTCTTTGGGAGGTGGATGTGTATGGTGATGCACTAAAGAGGCTTGCTTCGATGGATGCCTGAGTTAATGTTTTGGGATGATTAGTTTTTGCAACTCATTTCTTGGCCCTCCTATATTCATCATATTGAACTTTATGTTTTGTTTTTAAGTGATTAAAGAGGTTTGTTGTGTTGCTTTGTGGCGCCAACACAACTTTACAGCACTCTTTGCATATGACCTGTTTTTGTTTTGTGTCACTTGCCTTGAACCCAAAATGCTTCCACACAATGGATGACAATCCGATTCTTGGGACAAGACCCTCAGCCTCAACATTTTTTTGTCTTCTTTGTTAAAAAAGGTCAGTTTGGTTTACAGGAAAATGGTAAGCAGTTTATTACAATTAAATTGATAAGATATAAAAATGCAAGACTAGTATATACAGTACACAATTATTCAATTGAATACTGAATCAATATTATCAATATTCTTTAAAATCTTATTTAGGTCTATGGTCTGTGTGTCTGCAGTTTCATGACACGACAACCATTAAAGGGCACCTATTATGGCCCTTTTTACAAGATGTAATATTGGTCTTGGGTGTCCCCAGAATGTATTTGTGAAGTTTCAGCACAAAATACCCCCCAGTTAATTTATTATAACCATTTGAATGTGTCATTTTTGGGGCCTGTTTTGAAACAAGCTGTTTTGAGGCAGACGACCTTAAATGCAAATGAGCTGCTAATCCCCACCCTGCCGCTGGATGTGGGCGTAACTTGCATAACTATGGCAATTAACAGTCGGTAGAACCATAATGGCCGAGAGTGATAGACCCGCAATTGTGTATGGCATTCGGCCATACATGTTTGAACCAGAGTCCGACCCAGATGACGAAGAGACTCCGGCTGAAGAAACACGATCGAGAATGGACCAGGATGTCTCGGAATGGTTATTTGATACATTTATGAACTCATTGCGTTGTCATCGCTGTGCAACACACACACAGACACACACAAACTGTGATAACGTTGACGCAAATGTTTGAAAACACAAACACAAATACCGATAATAACGTTTGCTACCTACAAATAAAATGACATTAATGCGAGAGACCTGATTGGTCATGTTTACCTCACTTCTCGAACAGGTGTTTATGTGGCAAATGTGAGAAGATGGCGACAGAACAAGAAAATATATGCTGCAGGGAGATAGAACAGGTATTAATGTATTTACATTTTAATAGTTGCAAAAAATAATACGTGACATAAAACCGTCTAACGCTATTTGTTGTATCGAAGGTTACAAGATGGATGAAACAACTTTAAGTCACTCCATCATGTATGGTAGACCATCCCGGAATGGATCCTGTTTGTTTCAATTTGTTTTCTTTACAAAACGCTTTTAACATTTACAGGGCTGACTATGGTCCCATACGACTTCGTGGAATACAACAGTGAGTGTAACTGATTAACACATTTAATAAAAAAAATTCTATTTCTTCAAATAAGTTCTAATCATTTAAATTTTAATATATTATTTCAAAGTTTATATTAAAATGCAATTATAATGGAAAAAAACATAGTATAGCTTCAAATAATTTCACAACAACTTGCATATCCTTTTTTATTCCTTTATTTACATTATGTATAAAGACACTGACATATTATATACAAATGAGATTAGAAATAAAATAATTTTAATAAAAGGACATTACTCTTAAAAATAATTGAACCATAATCAATTACAAAGCAAGTATTACAACTCTAAACAACAAATGATAAATCTTGAACCTTGTTTTGAGAATGTCCCTGTGTGTGTGTGTGTGTGTGTGTGTGTGTGTGTGTGTGTGTGTGTGTGTGTGTGTGTGTGTGTGTGTGTGTGTGTGTGTGTGTGTGTGTGTGTGTGTGTGTGTTTGTGTTAGCCGTTACAGATTTTTAGCTTATCGGAGTTTTGTGAGCTGGTGCTGGGGTTTCCTTGGACGAAAAATTCGAGTTGTGATTCCAGCCTGTGTGGTCCTGAGGATTCGAAGAGAGTTTCCTGATGCACAGGGCAGTTATGTAGGTTTTCGACCACCTATTGATTAAACCGAGATAACCTACTAGAGATGGCCTCCTCCTTCTCTGGCCGGTCATACTCTGCACACAATGCTGGTGGTATTGGAATCCTCAAAACATCATCCACATATGGTGCAGGATCCACGAAGACCTTATCAAATATGAGGTCCAGCAGGTCATCCACATATCCTGTGCAATATAACATTTTGTTTACTTTTCAATTGATAAAATATTGATTTTTCAAATTCCTTGTAAGAAACAATGCAAAAAATATGGACATTTGTTTTAATTCTGTTAACTAAACTCAATTTTATACATACTGAAGGTTGCTTGTGTCTTTACTTCTCTGACCCGGTATTCTCCCTTCTTGGCTTTTGGAAAGGTCACTTTGAACACCCGTAGACCGGATGCTGTTGTGGCTTGAGGACGCCCGGCATTCTCATTGTAATGTAGTGCAGCGAGGTATAGACTGTAAGCAAAAAAAAAAAAAAAACTTTTTCAACATACATACAGTGTATGTATAATTAAAATCGTAAAAAAACAACAACAACATTAACATTACCTGCACAACATTCCCAGAAATGGAAATACCACATTTTTTGGTGTAAACCGTAGTATTACACTGTGGAAAACCTCGATAGAAGAAGTCTGGTAGTGTGGACTTAGCTTGCCAACATCCTTCAAAATTCTGGTGTTGGAGAGAACTCTCTCCAACTTGAGATATGGCAGTGTTCCTACATTATTGTAAGTGTTATTAGAGTAAGATATGTATTTAAAAAAAAAAATTTTTTTGAATAAATACATGGTCTGCATACATTTTTTTTAAAAAGAGTAAACATTGCTTATTTTGCCTACATACCAGCAGCTATCCACTTTTTTGTGCCTCGACTTCTGCTTGTTCCATGTAGACATGCTGGAAAATTGCTGTCTTCATGTGTGTGCTTATTTTGAATATGGTTTAGCATAGACGTCCATTTGGCAACTCTTTCAGGTCCACTGCTTGATGATGCTGCAGTCCAATAGATGTGGTTTTTTATACTATGCAACCATTCACGTACTTTCTCACAACCCTTCAACTTGCACACTTTTTCCAGCTGCTTTGAAATTCCTGGAGATTGCAATTACATACAGACAAGACAACACTTACATAAGTAGGGCAATGTGTCATTCCATCTAATGGCATGGTGTTGTTTATGTAATGTTAATACACATCTATATATAAATATATATACATTTCTACTGTATGTGTTCGACAAACAAATAATCATTCACTAAAACAGTTTAAACACAATTATTAGTCTGTAAAAAAATTGAAACTGATATTATTGTAACAAGGTTATTTACCTTTCTCTATGCGCCAGACATCATAGAATTGGTTGACATTGCGTTCCCTGAGGAATTTTTGTATTTGCGGATGTCGGTCAGTCACAATGCAGTCCAGAGTCACACCGCGAGTATCCAAAAAGTCAAGACCTCTCGTCAAACCTTCCTTTTCCATGTGGTAACTTCCTCCCACTTCATTACTCTGACAAGTGATCAAAAAAAAAAATTGCGTTTAAAATTTAAGTATACAAGTTTTCAAGGACGTTGCATCAAGGGTTTCAGCTCATTTACCTGGACGAGTTGTACATCAACAACGGTGTTTGTTTCCAGGTCCATCATTGTGTAACTGCCATATTTGGCAGAGTGCCCTTCAAAAAAAAAAAAAAACATAATCTCTTATTACAAAATGCGCCTTGTCTACACGAGACATTTTTTTTTTTTACAATGTAAATTTTTCCAACAATGTACCTGGTGAGTCAGCCCTCATATCTCCTCCAACAATGACCTTTCCCCTTTGAGCTAACAGCTGTAGCATCTCATCCTGCCAGTTTCTCCATTTGTAAACAATAGCAGGCTCAATGCACATTCGTGCATGGCGACGAAAGGTGTCGTACTTGAAAAGATGTAACTTCATAGCTGCAAATATCTGACAAAAGATAGAGAATAGTTGGTCAATTTTAAATTGATAAATGAATAAACAAACTAATTATACATTATAAATGTTTAGTATCATGTACCTGCAAAGATATTAATTACTTGTGTTACAAATACCTTTTCAATTGTCACAAATGAAGCACCACTGAGATACACAGCAGCCGAAAGGTGACGGCTGACTGTTCCATTTCCGTGTGAACTGACAATGGTGGCACAGTTGTTCAACACGTAGAAAAGTTCCAATCCTTTGTGATCTTGTATGACATCTTCTATGACATACCGGGCACACCTCAAACAGTTCCATGATACATGTCTCATAGACAATATATTTATAGATTTTCTGAATAGGGCTGGATGCTTGAGATCTAAAAAAAAAAAAAATGTTTTACTTTATATAAGTAGTACATAAAAATTAGAAATGCTAAAATTAAAACAAACATTATTATAAATTATAATATAAACTTACGACAAGTCTTTTTGCTCTGTTGTCGATGTTTCATCCCCTGTTGGATTAAATGTGACATCAGTCTCTTGTGCAGTTACAATTGAAGAGCATTCTTGTAGGATATCTTCATCTTCCTCAAGGTCCAGACAAGGTCTCTTTGATGAAGTCTTGAGGGGTGTGGAAGACGCAACCGCTGTATGCGAAACTAATTTTGTGGTATAATCAAAATTTGACAATGTTGTCTCTGTCTGGACACCTGAAATGTATAATTTAGCACAGATTCAGCAAATATTCTCTTTCTCTTTTTTTGGGTATTCAATTCAATTCAAATGTATTTGTATATTGTTTATATATTGTTATATTGTATACATTTAAGGAACTTTACAGAAAATGAATTTAGAAATGTACATATAAAAATACATTTAGTTAATACAAATTTATAGTACTATATTCTATATTATGTAATATAAATATAGTTAGAAAACATCAACATACTGATACTCCTGTGGTGTGTTTGAAGCGTCCTCATTGGCCTCGTTTACACTGCAGGTCTTGATGCCCAATTCTGATTTGTTGCCTATATCCGATTTTTTTTACCGTCCGTTTACACGTTCTTTAAATTGTGACCCATATCCGAGTCATGTGTTTACACTTGACTGAAACATCGCGCATGTTTAAAGGGGTCTTCTTGCTCAGATGGACGAAGCGCAGCGAGATCTCAGGACAGGTGGGAACATACAACACGATCTCATAAAAGTGAGTAGCCCATCTATAGCACAAATTTGATTTCTCATGCCATTTATAGCCTACGCCAAAAATAGTTTTTGCTTGCATATGATACGCACTGTAAACGTGCGTATTAAACGCCATAAAGCTATATTTTTGGCGTAAATGCCACGTGAAAAAAAAATCGTGCAATAAACGCACTTTCATGAGATCGTGGCGGGCTTTAACGAGGAGCAGTGGGTCCGAAATTTTAGGATGAGCAAGCCAACCTTTGATATGTTGTGTCAACGTGTGTCCACATTCCTCTCCTACGACGACACAATGTTTCATCGGGCCATCCGTCCATCCGCAGATGCGCGTCTGGGTTTCTCTCGTCATTAAACCGCGGAGACGCAGCCTAATGCCTCGGAAAATCCGATCTGCCTGTTTACATGACAGTCGCATTGGCACATATCCGATTTACATCTGATTTATTTCCACATATGAACGAGGCCTGAAACCGATCTCGAAATATCCGAATGCATGCGTTTTTTTCCTGTTTACACTGTCATAGAACACATCCGATCTGTGTCGCATACGAGTAAAAAATCGGAATTGGGTCACATTTCACTGACAGTGTAAACGAGGCCAATGATAGTTGTGTACCAACACTGCACAGCTGTGATGTGTGTGTCTGCACGGCAATATCCCTACAGCTTCGTGTCGATGTGCTGGCCTTTGTAGAAACATAGTAATTTTGATGTCTTTTTCGAAAACATACACACTTTTTAATACAATATCTTAAAAAAACATATGAAAACCTGTGGTTATTTAAAAGGTTTAAATTACATAAATCATACGACGACGACAACAACATTTGTTGTCGATGACTATTAACGTTACCTCAGAAATCATAAAATACACTTACTTCTTCAGGAATTGTTGTTGGATCGCGAACACTAGGCAACGATCCACCCTTGAAGATTAATTTTGTAGCAAGACCTGCTTTGAATTGACCGCCGTTCAAAAAACAGTCACTCTCAAAATGATTTGAGCAAACATAAACGTACTTCGGAAGTGTAAGAGGCGCATTTCCTTCATAAATAAAATCCACCCACTGCGTTTTCAGTGGCTCTGATGTCAGAAGCAAGTGCAAACAACTATGCGAAGTATTACAGCCCACAACAAAACACTTATTTTTCTTAGGAGGCATTTTCTAGAAGGCAGCACAAATCTTCAGAACAGCGGTCTCGCTGTCGTTAAAACAACAATGGAGGATCAGATCACCGAGGGAGGGGTCTGCCTCAACCACACTGTCAATCAAACCCCTTTCCCATGTTCTACGTCACAAAAAGCTGAATCTTAGAACCGCTCATTCTGAGAGAGTGCATATGAATTATTTAGATTGTAAAAAAACACTGGGTGGATTTTTATCATTCTAGGGTGGTTTTGCTCACACACTGCCAACACACATTTATGTTCAAACAGCATGTAAAAGTGAATTTTGCATAATAGGTGCCCTTTAACAATGAGTAACTGGGTTTTTCTCAGGGAGAACTGCCACTGTTTTGAAGTAAACATTTTTAAAAGTTGCATCCTTGCAAATATGCACAGTTGGGATTTCAATGTCAGTATGGGTCTTTAACGGTCTTCTTAGACAGTTCTACTACAGAAAACATGTCACAGGTCGGGGGGGCCAAGCCAGACTGCGCCCACCCCTCAAACCCAGGACCACCTCGAGGAGCGTACCAGAGACCAGGCAGACAAGAAGAATTTCTAAAATTAACAATCTTTATTGAATAAAAGCAAGAATTAAAAGTCTTAATGCGGGCTTCGTCTCTCTTTCCAGGGAGGAGGAGGCCGAGGGGTTCACTGCGAGGGCCCGGGTTACTGGCAGCCACAGAGGAGGAAGGAGTCGAACGCCCGTCCGGCGTGCAGGTAAGTAGACTCTTTTCGGCGTAACACAGGCGGGCAGCGACCCGGGCAGACCAGGGCCGGGGCCACGGGCCAGGAGGGGACTCTCTCCACAGGACAGGTGGGTAGCAGGTAAGTTTTTCCCAAGCGTCAGCTATTCGGTAGATGACCGGCACAGGGGCGATGGAGTCCAGGAGGGGGACTCGCTGCCGGCCAGGTAGGTAGTCGGGTAGGCAGATCTCCTCCGTGTAGGGTGCTCTCCTCCGTGGCGTTACTGAGCAGCAGGTGTGAGGTCCTCCGGGTGCCTTTCCGCCCTTGACGGCTCCAGCCAGAGACAAGGGTCCCCTCTAATCCAAGATAGAGACAAGTTTGCAGGTTCAATTCGATTTCGGTGAAGTAAGGACTTACGGCTGGAGCGGGTGGTTCTGAACAAGCAGCGTTGCTGCTGGGATGTGTCTCTCCTCTGAACAGGCAGCACACAAGAAGGCCGAGGCAGACGAATCTTCTATTTAAATAGACAAAGCCTTTGATACAAGAACGAACATGATCCTTTCATATAATGGAGAATCGGCTTACGGCTGGACTGGGTTGCTCCACACAGGCACTAGGGCTGGGATGTGTCTCTCCTCCGACCAGGCAGCACCCAAGAAGGCAGTGGCAGGAGAATCTTAAATAGACGGAGCATTTGATACAAGAACAAACATGATCCTTTCGTATAATGGAGACTCAGGCTTACGGCTGGGCTGGGTGGTTCCCACGGCAACACTAAGGCGGGGGTGTGTCTCTCCTCCGAACAGGCAGCACACACGAAGGCGGTGGCAAAGGAACGTTCTATTTAGATAGACAAGACAAGTTAAACAGGACAATCACACTCCTCTCTCATATCACAGGACCTGGTGGACGAAATGGAACATGCACATTCAACCTGAGGGCTTTGCTCCGCAAACACTGGGCGAGGACGTGAACTGGAGAGTACTGGCGGTTAAATAAACGTGTACATCCACACACTGCAACTTCACGTCAAGTCCAATACTGTGTGACACTTCAATTCAGGCACCGCAATACACTCAAATCTTCGTGCAATAAGGCCAGCACTCACCCACTATTCAATCCCTCCACTGTTGCGCTGGATCAACACTCAGAAGCTGAAGAGATGCAGAGGACTTCACACCGCATGGAACACAGCGTCTTCTAGCGTAACACACTCCTAGCGTAAATTGGTTCGGCTGGATTTGTCACCTTGTGACAAACACGTCTAATACAACTTTTACTCTGGCTGCCTTTAGATGTCTAACAATTACGTCTGTAGCACGTCTTTAAATTAACGTATGTTTAGAATGTTGAATGTTTAGAAAAGACGTATAAAAAACTTTCATTCTGGCTCCTGTAAGGACGTCTTCTGGATGTCTAACAATTACGTCTTTTAGACGTGTTCTAGACGACTTTTTGCTCGCTGAGGAGATGGCAGTGTTCGCATTTGTTTGATTCTGATAATCCCATTCTAAACTGTTTATGTTGGGTTAAGTGTGTTCCGTGTATTACTTTATATTGGATCAGTTGTACGTTGGTATTTCTGCTTAAACTAAATGTATTTAAGCAGACTTGTTTCCAGAAATTGACATCTGTGATTATGTTAAGGTCATTTTCCCAGTGTTTAATAGATATTGAATACGTTGTATCTGTATTTATTAATATAGTGTATAATTTGGATAGAATTTTTTTGTGTTGCTGATTTTTTTCTCAATAAGAGGTGGAGTTTTAGAAAGAAGGTTGCCAATCTTAGTTCTAGTTCATGATTCATTTGTATGTCATAAAAACACTGATCTTTGCCTAAAAATTTTTTTCTATTAATTCTGAAAAATTGATGAAATTGTTATCCAAGAACAGATGATGTAAATGTGTGATGCCAGCAATTTTCCATTTTTTATTAACAAGCAAAGATTTATTAAAGGGATACTCCACCCAAAAATGTAAATTCTGTCATCATTTACTCACCCTCAAGTTGTTGCAACCCTGTATGAGTTTCTTTCTTCTGCTGAACACAAAGGAAGATATTTTGAAGAACGATTGGAACCAAATAGTTTTTTGGCACCATTGACTTCCATAGTAGAAACAAAAAATACTATGGAAGTCAATGGTGCCAAAGTTCCAATCGTTCTTCAAAATATCTTCCTTTGTGTTCAGCAGAAGAAACTCATACAGGTTTGCAACAACTTGAAGGTGAGTAAATGATGACAGAATTTTCATTTTTGGGTGGAGTATCCCTTAAATGGTAAAATCTGGGTTATGCCATATAGGAGAGAAGGAGTGTGGTGTTATTGGATTATGAGTTATTTGATTACTTTTCCACTATGCTAATAATGTTGTACGAATTATGTTATTATATAATTTATGAGCCTTTATTACATCCGTTGGTCGGATAATGAAATATTTTTACAATCTGCTGGTCTAAGTCTAACCATGGGTTATGGGTATGATTGCCGTTTATCCATTTGCAGAGATATTCTAATTGTGCAGCTAGATAATAATTATGAAAGTTGGGTGCCCCTAATCCTCCTAATCTTAGTTTTTCTGTAATGCTTATTCTTATTTTTATTTATTTTTTCAGTACAATTTATTTATCTTGCTATTTAATGTGTCTAACCATTTCTTAGTGGGTTGGATTGGTATCATTGTAAATATGTATTATCATTGTAGAGATTCTTCCTATAAGAGATAATGGCAAATTCATCCAACGTTTTAAATCATCTTCTATATATTTAAGTAATGGAACAAAATTAAGATTAAAATATAGCTGCAAGCAGCGATGACGGGCCCAAGCCGGTGGCACTGCCGTCCCGGTGCCTTTAGGGTAACTGTGCACGACGGGCAATATGAAATTAAACCCGGTAAATGTAAAAGAACCATATCAA